CGTGTCGGCGCCTCCGGCGCCGCCTCGCATTGGGTCCCCCGCCTTGGCGCGGTCCGCGCGCCGATGATCGACGTAAGGTGGTCATGGATTGCTGTGGACGCATGGATTGACGCCGTGTCGCTACCACGCCTGCTTGGGACGACTTCCAGGACGCGTACTTCCAGCAATAATGATACTGCCGCCCACCTCCTCCTCCTCCTCCTCCTCCTCCTCCTCCTCCTCCTCCTCCTCCTCCTCCTCCTCCCATAGAGTGTTTCACAGTGTTTCACATTTCAGGCGCCTCGGCGCCCCTTCCGCCGCGCCCTCATGGCGCCGCGCGTGCGGAGCCGAGGAGGGACAAGAGAAGGGGAGAGAGCGAGGAGAGGAGGACGGCACGAGAGGGGAGGGGGGCCAAAGGAAGGGAGGAGGACTGACTCGGACGTGTGCGTTTTTTCTCGGCGGGGACCACCGCGGAGCATCCTGCATCGCCGAGCCACAAGTGAAAACAGCACGCGCGAGGCCGACAAGTGCGCGGGGCACGGGCGCCCGAGCGATGGCAGGGAGGCTGAGCGGGAGACGGCCCGGAGGGAGCAGCAGCCTTCCTGGCGGGCCTCCAGGCAGGCGGGCGGGCGGGCGGGCCCCGATGGGCGCGTCGAGCGGGCGGCCCCGAACGGACTGGCGGGCGGGCGGGCCCGGCGGGCGGGACATGAACATGGAGCTTACAAGTTGCGAAGGGGCCGCAGGCTCAGGCGAGAGCACACGAGCCCGTCCCGAGCGCCCAAACTGCGAGGGGTTCCCGTGCGGGGGCTCGGTTCCTGGACGTCGGGAGCACGGCGCCCGGAGTAAAGTGCAGGGGCGTGTCGATCAAGAGAGCGCGACGTTGAATGGATTGCGGGGAGGTGTCAGGCGTGAGCTGCTGAATCCTCATCTCTAAAGAATGATGTTTGTGAATATCCCCCTCTGGTGCCCCTGTTGTTTTTCAATTGAAGCGCCCCTGCTTTTTTCAAAGACAAGTACTGCGCCTCAGACTATGCCCTGACCCCCGGCTTGCATCAACCACGGTTCCCGCTTGATATTTCTTGCCGATGTATTGTTAATGGCGTTCCCGCGATGGATGTTCTCATGATTTGTCAGGAATCGCATTCTCGCGTGAGGCTTCCCTGGAATTTCCTCAGACGCCTCGTCCTCGAACATCAGGAATCACACTCTCGCTCTGAATTTCCTTGCGGTGTACTTGGGAATCGCGGTATGGCTCGAGATGTCCTCGTGATTCATGCAGGGTTGACGCTTCAGCGACCCGCCTGCTCGACTCGGCCGCTTGGGCCCGCCAGCCCGACCCGCCCGTTGTGGTCCGCCCGCCCGTCCCGCCCGTCTGGTTCTGCCGCTCGTTTTCTTGCTCCGAACCTCCCTCCTACTAATTTCTCGCCCGCAGCATCCTTCTTCCTACCCCTTGTCCCGTCCCTCCTCCCTCCCTTCCCTTATTCAAGGGCCTGCGCCAACCACACGTGGCATGTAAGGAAGATTGACCCCCAAGGAAGTTATGATCGAAGACGGAGGAGGCGGGTAACTAGTACTTGGGACAAAATACGTGTTGGATAGCACGCGAGCAGAGAAGAGCGAACAGTCGTAACCTGGTTGTTGATTATGTTGTTTAAGTTGTGTATGTTGTTGCTGTTGGTGCTGTCGATGTTGTTGTGATTGATGTTGCGGTTGCTGTTGCGGTTGTTGTTGTCGTTGTTGTTGTTGTTGTTGTTGCTGTTGTTGTTGCTGTTGCTGTTGCTGTTGCTGTTGCTGTTGCTGTTGCTGCTGTTGTTGTTGTTGTTGTTGTTGTTTTTGTTGTTGTTGTTGTTGTTGTTGTTGAACATTATTAATTCTAAAGAATAATTATTGTTGGGACCCCTGGTGCACGGCCCCCCCGCCGCGCCTAGGCCGCAGCTACATTTTCATCATTTTTCGCGAAAGCTTCAGAAAAGTGGATGGGGTCCAGATCCGGTTGTTTTGTTGTAATCCGTTTTCCCTTGCAAAAAACACTATAAAATGACATTTCTTGTTCTAATATAATCAAATTTCAAGAATCCCTTGCAAAAAATAAGGTAAAGTGGACATTCGCGCGCGCAAGACGAAATCCTTCCAAAAGCTTAGTGTTCGGAGCGATTTTAACATAAAAACATCAAAAAACCAATGGTTTTTCAACAAAAAAATGTCAAAATCTCATCCCGCGCGCTCTTGCGGATTCGTAGGAAAACCAACACTTTTTAAACATTTCTGTCAAACGGGCTTTTGCGAGCAACTTTTTCGAACTTCTGCGACAACGGTTGCGCACCTGCCAGGGCCATCATCCCTGTCAAATAATACCATGCGGGACACATTCGTTTTTTCTTCGCGCGCGCACGCCGAAATCTCCAAAAACCATTGGGTTCTTAAGAATTTTAGCACCGCGCATCATAAAATCACACGAATCGCACCGTGGGTTAACAACTTCTGTGGGTTAACAAGGCTTAACAACTTCTGTGGGTGTACGAACGTAGGCTTAACAACTTCTGTGGGTGTGTACTCCACGCCAGTGTAGTAGCCACGGTCGTCCGCAGGCCACGAAGTGAAGTGTCCGAACGTCATAGGGCGGGAAGCTGGGTGTGGGTGGTGGCGAAGAGTCGTGTGGATATTTGGTAGAGCTTGCACTGCCCCCCCACAAAGTGGGGGTATTGGCTGGCGTCGCATGAAAACCCTGGCACTGGTGAGAACACTGAGCGTTCGGGTAAAGTGATTGTTGTTGTTGTTGTTGTTGTTGTTGTTGTTGTTGTTGTTGCTGTTGTTGTTGTTGTTGTTGTTGTTGTTGTTGTTGTTGTTGTTGTTGTTGTTGTTGTTGTTCGCGAGGACACTACTGGAGGCCCGTTGCTCGACCCCCCCCCCCCCGAGCAACACAACGGGGCCACGCACGGGCCCTGCAGGGCCCCTGGTCCGAGCAACGCCACGAGGCCTCGCCAGGCCGCTGCGGGGGTCTGCAGGGCCCGGCGGCGTTGCTCGGCAGGTCCTTTCGGGACTGCTGCGGAGCCCCATACAGGCCCCAAAGGGCGCACCCCTCTCACGGATCGTGGCCCTGGCCCCACAGGGAGCTCCACCGAGGTTTGATTTGGGCACACCCCTCTCGAGGATCGTGGCTCAGTGAGCTCCACCGAAGCTTGGTTTCGGCGCACCCCTCTCACGGATCGTGGCCCTGGCCCCACAGGGGGCTCCACCGAGGCTCCATTTCGGCACACCCCTCTCGAGGATCGTGGCCCTGGCCCCACAGGGAGCTCCACCGAAGTTTGATTTCGGCGCGCCCCTTTCACGGATCGTGGCCCTTGCCCCACAGGGAGCTACACCGAGGCTTTATTTCGGCACACCCCTCTCGAGGATCGTGGCCCTGGCTCCACAGAGAGCTCCCCAGAGGCTTCATTATGGCACACCCCTCTCGAGGATCATTTTGGCACACCCCTCTGCAGGGTCATGCACGATTCCATCGGAACCGTAGAGGGAGTCTATAGGATCCTTACAGGGTCCTGCACGGTTCCATCGGAATCCTATAGGGATCCTATAGGATCCTTACAGGGTCCTGCACGACTCCATCGGAGTCCTATAAGGAGGAACCTATAGGATCCTTACAGGGTCCTGCACGATTCCATCGGAGTCCTATAAGGAGGAACCTATCGGATCCTTACAGGGTCCTGCACGATTCCATAGGAACACCCTATAGGGATCCCATAGGATCCTTACAGAGTCCTGCACGGTTCCATCGGAATCCTACAGGGATCCTATCGGATCCTTACAGGGTCCTGCACGACTCCATCGGAACCCTAGAGGGATCCTATCGGATCCTTACAGGGTCCTGCGCGATTCCACAGGAACCCTGCAGGGATCCTATAGGATCCTTACAGGGTCCAACAGGTTTCCATGGGAACCCTGGAGGGATCTTATAGGATCCTTAAAGGGCCCTGCACGATACCATAGGAACCCTATAGGGATCCTATAGGATCCTTACAGGGTCCTGCACGATCCCATAGGAACCCTATAGGGATCCCATAGGATCCGTACAGGGTCCTGCACGATTCTATAAGAATCCTATCGGGGTCTTATAGGATCCTTACAGGGTCCTACAGGATTCCATCGGAACCCTATAGGGATCCGATAGGATCCTCACAGGGCCTTGCAGGATTCCATCGAAACTCTATAGGGACCCCATCGGATCCTTACAGGGTCCTGCACGATTCTATAGGAACCCTGGAGGGATCCGATAGGATCCTTACAGGGTCCTGCACGGTTCCATGGGAATCCTAGAGGGATCCGATAGGCTCCGTGCAGGGTCCTGCACGATTCCATAGGAATCCTACAGGAATCCTATAGGATCCTTACAGGTCCTGTATGATTCCATAGGAGTACTATAAGGAGGAACCTATGAGATCCTTACAGGGTCTTGCACGATCCCATCGGAACCTCAGAGGGACCCCATCGGATCCTTACAGGGTCCTGCACGTTTCCATAGGAACCCTAGAGGGATCCTATAGGATCCTTACAGGATCCTGCACGATTCCATCGGAACCCTAGAGGGATCCTCTAGGATCCTGACAGGGCCCAACAGGTTCCCATCGGAACCTTATAGGGATCATATAGGATCCTTACAAAGTCCTGCACGATTCTATGGGAAGCCTATATGGGGTCCTCTAGGATCCTTACAGGGTCCTGCACGATTCCATAAGAACCCTAGAGGGATCCGATTGGATCCTTACAGGGTCCTGCACGATTCCATAGGAACCCTGGAGGGATCCTATAGGATCCTTACAGGGTCCTGCACGATTCTATAGGAACCTTATAGGGATCCTATCGGATCCTTACAAGGTCCTACAGGATTCCATCGGAACCTTCATAGGGGTCTTATAGGATCCTCACAGGGCCCTGCAGGATTCCATCGGAACCCTGCTTAGGGATCCTATAGGATCCTTACAGGGGCCTGCACGATTCCATAGGAACCCTATAGGGATCCGATA